CTGATTATGTTACATTAATATGGCAAAAGGGATTTGGTGGTTATAATTATGGTCCCTAACCAGGAGACTTTGAGTTAATTATAAAGGAGATTATCTTAGGTGTGTCTGACCCCATCATGTGAGCCCTTAAAAGAGAACAAGCAGCAGTAGAGACTCTCCTGCTGGCCTTTAAGAAACAGGTCACCATGAGTCCTACAACCACAAGGAACTGAATTCTGCCAATAACAACCTGAACGAGCTTGGAAGAGGATCCAGAGTTCCAGATCAGAACCCAACCCTGGCCGTCACCTTGAATACGGCCTTGTGAGACTCAGTAGGGAACCAGTTAAGCCCTGCCTGCATTTGTAACCTACAGAACTATGAGATAACACATGTTATTTTAAACCACTAAATTTCTGGCAATTTGGTACACAGCAACAGAAAACTAATACATAGATCACTGACTGACTAAAAGCTGTGAGAGGAGATGAAGTCACTGCTGTGCCATTATGTAAGCAGCAGTTTTTAAAATGTGGCCCAGGGAACCCTGGAGGTCTTTAAGACATTTTCAGGGGTCCATGAGGTCAAAACTATTTTCATAATAATACTCAGATGTTATTTGCCTTTTTCCTACTCATTCTCAGGATTTTATAGATTTTAGATGCTACATAATGTATGATGGTACCATTAGCTCTGATGGCTAATGGAATGTCTTTGTGTATTCTTGTATTTAAAAAATTTCTCTGTTTTAATTTCTAATGTGGTAAATATTGACAAATATAGCCCACGTAAACATAAGTTCATCGAGGTCTTCAATAATTTTTAACAGTGTAATGAGGTCCCGAGACCAAAAATTTTGAGAACCATTAGTCTCATGAATGAGGATGTAACTAAGCAGGTCTAGACAGAGCCAGAAGGTATAAGAATTTACATGTTTAGTCAATGCCTACATTTTGTCCAGAACTGTGGTGGGTATGACCAAGAGCGGAGCAAGGATACAAAAGTAGTACGAAGTATAGTCCCTGAAGTAAGGCAAACATAAAGAAACAATTAGCAAAATCATTCACTTCTTCCCTCCACAGGTGTTTCCGAGTACAAGGTATTGCGGTATGATGGTATGGAACTCAGCGCTAACCTTCGGTATGGGTGGCTACGCCACAGAGGTGTTCAGAGAAGCAGCTGCTGAGACAAGGTTGTGGGCGACAGGAGGACTTGACGGGAGAGGCGAAATGTCGGCTGGGAGGGGAATTGGAGGAGGAGGACAGATAAGGCATTATCCTTCAGGTCTCAGCTGAATCATCCCTTTCTTAGAGAGGCCTTTCCTGAGATCCCTATCTAGAGCACCCAGCACCTTATTCTCCATCACAGCTCCCCATTCATTTCCTTTCCAGCTCTTTTTTTTTTCCCAAACCTAACATTAAGTCTGGCTGGAGCTAGAGTGCTTTGGTTCAAATCCCAGCCCTGCCACTTTCTAGTTACAAAGTCTTGGATAAATTACCTAAACTCTCGATGCGGCAGTTCCTCAAAAAAATGTGCTAATAAAACAAGGAATTTATGTTGAAGTAGCTTAGACTGTGAGCTGGGACTGAAAAGGAAAGGGTGGATACGAACTAGTTCAAGGGCAGAATCAATAGGTGAATTCAGACAACAAGGAGAGAAGAGGACCAAAAGACAAGGGAAAATTCTGGGGATATTAAAAAAAAAAGAAGGCAACCAATTATATGTGGATTAAGGAAAGAGAGTAAAAAACAAAAATTATTCCAAACTTTGTTGTTTGAGAGGTATGACAGAGGCTAGCATCAGTTCACTACTCTGGGGGGAAAAGCAGGAGCTATGTCAGATCCATATTTAAAGTGAGTTGGCAACAAGAACACAACTGTAGAAAATTTGTTTTCAGCGTGCTAGAGGGATGGGCCTAAACAGAATAAAGTTCAGGGCAGACAGGACAATCTGGGTGTCTGCTCATTGTGTGCCGGAGCTGAAATCGTGGGGAAGGAACCCCACAAGGCCCTGAATGCTGAGCTGTACGGAGAAGGGCCATCTTCTTTAACACTCACGATGACGTGTTTATTGTGGATAAAGATGCTTACTACATTACCGTCAAACTCCTTTTGGTGAGACGGGGCTTTTCAGAAGAAATAAGGCACTGACTCAACCTAAGAACCGCACAGTAAGGAGTAGTACATTCCCAATTTTAACTTATCTCTGGAAGGCCAAATAAACAACGTGTTTCAAGTTGCTTTTGTCAGGGGAAGCTTGGGTCATCTCCTTTCTAGCAAGGACCTCTTGCTATTCAATTCAAAATTGTACAACATTCCTCTTGTTGACACGGTTTCACAGCACTCTTCGTTCCAGGGTAAAGCTTCCTCTACTGACTTCTGGATGTCCTATTTGCAACAGCTAGATTTTCTGACCTGGCAAGCTGCTGAGACCCTTCAGGACAGCTGAACTATAGATAAAAATCTTCCAGGGAAGTAGGTGTGGGCAGGATGTGTGGTTTCCCTGCCTGTCACTTTAAGACTGATGCAATTAATTTTTCATTGACAGTCTCTTCCAGTAAAAGCTACATTCCAGAGTGTTTTAAGAGAAACTGGAAAGGACCAGCTAGCTACTGATCTTCTTGAGCTTGAGTTGAGACCAGAGCACTATCTTTCTTAATGCCACAGAGATGTACAGCAGGGAGACTGTGGCCCCTACTATCATCTCAAACCAGCCCCCTTTGCTAGTGTGACCTTGAGGACTTGAATTAGCCATAACAATAACACACGGCAGAGCGTGCACTTGTTTACCAAATAATCTGGAACCAAGCAAGAAGGCGTGATAACATGTGCTTCAGCCTGGCTCTGAATGTGCGCACAGCAGCCTGAACGCAGGAAGATGTTTCTAAACTTTTAGTGATATAACACACAGACTCCTTCTCCGACATTCCAGGCTAACCACTAAGTTAAGACATCGCAAAACATCTGGGACATATGTTTCTGGAAAAAATCATGGCATCTTTTCTACAGCTGTCCGTGGCCTAAGCATTGGAAGCTTGGCCTGACAGGAGCCTCTGCAGCAGGATTACCTGCAGGGGCCCAGGGAAGCCACCCTGGAGCACAGACAGGCTTTAATGGAACTGAATGCAGTCCAATTTCACTCATCAACTATTTGCTTAGTGCACTTAGGAACAAAGTACAGAGCAGACAGAAATTCAAAGATGAATAAAATGCATGTGCTGCTGTCCCTAAAAAACTACTTTCTCTCTGGAAAAGTTGAGACTTACTTCATCTCAGCTCCTGGTGGAACCACACAAATAAGCTGATATTCCAGGTCTTTCCGTCAGTGGAAACAGAGCCAGAACCTGAGATCTGAGATCTCAGGTCAAAAATACGATGAACGACTGCTTGGCTGCCCCATGGCCACTGAATCCAGGCAGCAAAGAGCTTTCACTGTTCTGAGAGTCTTCTGCTGTGCGTTTCTCCAGCCAAAAACCTAGGAAAATGTCCTGACGACAGATGCGCCTACTTTACTCAGAGAAGGAGATTTTCTAAAAGAACAAGAAATGCTAGATCAACCTCTGCTTTTTAATTTCACATCATCTTGGGTGATCCTGCCTCTTTTCACTAAAACACACTCTCTTCATCAATTTCTTACCATTTCTTTACTAGATTTAAATCAAACTTATGAAAAAGATTTAAGAGTAAAAAATAAAAAAGTCAAATACTACAAGAGGTCTTCTCCGTGTGTGTTGCCTTGTTAAAGGAGCAGAGCCTAGAGGGAGGGGAATGAGTTCCTGTTTATTGAGGAGCTCCCTGGGCCAGGCCACGCACTGGGTGTGGTTCTTCTGTTGTAGTTGACATGGCATCATTCAGAGCACAGATTCTCAAGCGGGACCAGCTAAATAATTTGTGGGGCCCAGTACAAAATAAAACGTAGTTCCTTTGTTCAAAATATATTAAGAAATTCAAGAGAGTGACAGCCGAGTATTAAACCAACGCAGGGCCCTCCTAAGTGTGGGTCCCCACGTGACTACACAGGCCACGTGCCTATGAAACTGGCTTTGTTCTCAAGCCAGGCTGCCTGGGCTTGAATCCTGGCTTTGCCACTTACTAGTCATGTGATCTCGGACAAATTATCTGTAAAATGGTGATAATAACAGTCCCTACCTCATCGAATTGTTATCAGGATTAAATGAGTTAATATTTGAAAAGTGCTTAGAAGAATACCTGGCATACAGCAAGCACTATACAAATGTTTAGTAAATATATATTCTACCAAGCCTAAACATCTCAAAATGCCAGAGACAACTACAGCCATGACGTCGTGAATTTACTAAAACATTTTTTTTAATGTTTGGCGAGTTTGGATTTCTGATAAACAGAATCATGTTTTTATTACTCTGACAGTAGTCACCTTTTAATTTAACAATTAAACAAGAGTTTTTTTAAAAGATATTCTGGATTGAGGCCAACAACTCACAAAGCAAAACTGAAGAACAAAAAAAGATACTGGGTTAGGCTCGAGGTTCTGGAAGCCTGTGGATTACAAATTGTCATGAAGCCAATGTAATGTAACTGTTTTCTTTATGCTGAGAGGATTCACTAGGGACTGCACTGCTTCCATACAGGAAATGGAGCCTGTTGTATCTGAACAAAAACCACGAGATACCTTTCTTTTTCTTTTCTTTTTACAATGCAGAATACTGTAAAAAATAAAAGAACAGCTGTAGAACAGGAAATGTTATTAATCATACAAATTCTATATTTAGTTCTAGGAAAAATATTTCTAAAACAAGTCAGAAGATAACTTGCAAATAGTGATAAATATTGTTATATAGAAAAGAAATTTGGTGCACAGAGGCATAAATACTTCATGGTTTATTAACGTTTGTTTTCTAAGAGCACTCTCTTAGAAATAACCCAGTTTCTTCACTGGGTTATTTACACATTTTTCACTCCTGATCACCAATAATTCTCAGAACTTTCAGAAGCCTTAAAAGTAAATACGTAGTTTTTTTCCCCCAATTATAAATATCGTCGACTGCAAAATTCTAAAGCAGTAAGTCATTCGTCAAACAATTCGCCCAAGGTACACAGATTTGGGATATTTCTCCTTGAGAGTCGGCCACTGAACAATGAAGTAATCGCAGAGGTGGAACAGAATCTTTCCGGACAGGGATAAATCTTCTACTCGGCAGATGCTTTCAACGTAGACAATGATCACTTTCTTTATTCCTAGTATCCCGAGGAGAAGGGCAGATACACAGATAGGAACACATGTTCCTGGTCCATTACACAACACCTTAAAAAAAAAAAGTTGAAGGTCAAATCAAAATACAGAATACTAATCTAAATGAGACATTTTAAATTAAAAACAGTCAAATCTTAGAGGGAATTTTTCTTTTATCATTCTAAGTCTTGAATTATTCCTTGTCAAGATCTAGTATGGAGCAAACCTACGCACTCAGGAGCCAGGCGGGGCTGTGCTGTTGGCTCTCCTGCTTACCGACTGTGTGACTTGGGGAAATCACTGAACTTCTCTGTGCCCGTGTGGCCTGCCCCGTGCTACGGGAGATGTGCCGCACAGTGCTTGGTGCTCAGCCAGCACTCATTAGATGGGAGTGTGTTGCTTTTCTCTGAATGCTTTGTAGATCTTGAATGTCACACAAACATGTAGAAAACAGATAAAATCAGCCATGATTCATTGTTTTCTCATGTATCAACTTGTTCTTGTTGATTTTTAAAAATAATCTTTATAATAGTTGGAGCACTGACATGTAAGATGTAGGATAAAATGTCTTTAAATGACTAACGTAGAATATTTTTATGGGATGTACTATCATTTTAGGAGTTCAATCCAACAAATGGGATATTTGAGAGAAGGCTACTAAATGAATGAGATTTTCCCTCAAGTGAATTTAATCTATGCTTGTAATCCAGAGAGTTAAAATGCTTTTGAATTCTGCTAATTTTCATAGAAAGCCACTGGTTAAAAACAGTTTAGGTGGTTTGGGGTGGGGCAATGAATTGGGGAGATGTTGTTTAAGGGTACAAACTAGCAACTAGCAGATAAATAAGTCCTGGAGATCTAATGCACAATATAGTGATTATAGTCAACAATACTGTATTATAAACTTCAAAGTTGCTAACAGACTAGATATTAATTGTTCTCAAAACAAAAAAGAAGTAATTACGTGACATGATAAAGGTGCTAGCTAACGCTACTGTAATAATCATTATGCAATATATACATGTATCAGACCAACATGTTGCACACCTCAAACTTACACAATGTCATATATCAATTCCATCTCAATTTAAAAAACCCACAAAGAACAATTTAGTTGGTAAACTCAACAAGAAAAATAAAAATTCAACTCATAGAGCAACTGCAAAGAATTTTTGTAAGTCTTTTAAGAAAATGAGAACAAATCTATTTCACAGAATTGTTGGTAAGATAATTTATTATTATTTTCAGAGGGAAAAAGCGTTTTGCACAACATCTTAATCATATGCTCATATTGACTGAATTAGTAAAGCCTAAAAAAGCATTTTTTACTCCACAAATCATAAAACAGGATTTGTGGTTGTCTACACATGCCTATTGGGCATTATTTACAATGTCACATGATCTTTCCAGCCCAAAGTCCACAAAACTCATTAGACATCAGAGAATCTTAGACTTGAAAGGTTCCCAGATACACTGTCTAACCATCCTGGCATTTCAGGGACTCTCCATGATAGACAGCCATCCTGGCAGGGCAGTAAGACATGGGCAGGGATGTAAGGGTTTGATAAAATCATCTGATCTAGGCTCTGCCCTTCCTGAAGGGGTGACCACCTGGAACACCATTCACAGAACTTTGGGAAAAGGGAGGGCAGCCTGTTTCAGGCAGGAACCAATCTTTCTTATACCTTCCTTAAAGCTCCTACCTACAAGTTAAACCCTGTCTGTCTTTCACGGAGAGCTGTTGTTCAGATTTTCTCTTGAATTACCAGCTACTAAACTGCTCTCCAGACCAGTCTTCTTTAATCTGCTCTGAGTTGCCCCTATAATCTTTCTTCATAGACCGTCCAGGCAGCGTAACAGAAAGAAAATGGGACTGAGAGTCAGGAGGACAGGATTAAATAAGCTTCGAGTCAGCTCTGTGACCCTGGACAACAACAGGAACCAGTGATCACCACCTCAGCCCTCACTGCTATTTACTAACGCACTGTGGCCAGATACTGCACCAAACATTTCACATGTATTATTTTAATTAATCCTGCCAGTAATCATGTTAGGCAGGTTTTATTATCCCTTTTTGCAGAATAGGAAACCAAGTCACAGAGAGATTGGGCAAGTTGCTCGATCCCATGTTTAGGAGATGGAGGAGATCTATTGCTTTAGGTCACTTCTTCCTATGTGACTCAGTTACCGTATGTAGAAAATACAGAGATTGGACTCAATGATATTCCCTGCCAGCTCCAGGATCTGTAATCCCATGACTCTAATTTGCCTCTAGTTTTGTCGTAAGCCTAAATTACAACACTGTTCTGAATCCTTTTAGGGTTTAGAATTCTAAAAATCCTATTAATGCGAGGTTTCTCAACAGTGGCATTATTGACATTTTGGACTGGATGATTTTTCATTGTGGGAGCTTGTCCTGTGCATTGTAGGATGTTTAACAGCACCCCTGGCCTCTACCCACAAGATTCCAGACAATCAAGAATGTGTTCAGGCATTGCCAAATGTCTCCAGTTGAGAACCACCGTATTAATGTATTCCCTAATCCTTGGGTTATTTGTGTTGCTTTTCTCATCTTTTTTTCCATGGTACCAACAAAATAAAACCTACAGCCAAAAAATAATATAAAGATTGCTTGTTGGATCTTGAACATCATAAAAATATTTTCACGTTTGTTTTTTTTAAAAAAATATACATCTCCATCTGTGTTCATTTCAATATCCTGTTGACCTTTTATACACAAGCTGTGAATACATTAATAGAGATGTCTGTATATAGGAGGAGAAATGACTGGGCATTGGTGCATTAACAACCTGCCATAGATCAAAAGCAGAGACTGTTAAGGTAAAAGTGGAAATTAAAGGTATTTTGTTAGTTTATCTCTGTTGTATCTTTATATTTTGAGGTACCTTCCTACAAAAGTCCCAGGAACAATAAAACCACAAAACCATGAACAAAGTATTAAAACAAAACAGCAAACTAATCTCAAGGAAAACTTAGGTTAAGGAAGGTTACTTTTAATTAAGCAGAGGTTTTAACTCTGAATTTTACAACAGCCTAGGCAAAAAATTTTAAATTGTGGATTATGGCATTTCCATTATTTAATGAAGCATGTTGGAGAAACTTATTCCAAGCACTGAACAAAAAATAATTTATTGAGACAGCCTTGGTAAAAAAGATGTTAAACAATGTAATAGTTGGAGCTGTCTGTTTAATTTTATAAAAAACACAGAAATATTTTTACATTTCTATTTCTTAAAATATAAATTCTCAATAAATGCAGCCCCATATCTCTTACTACCTCTCTTCTTCACTACAGGTGTACCTCGTTTTACTGCACTTCGCTTTACTGCACTTCACAGATATTGCATTTTTTTTTACAAATTGAAGGTTTCTGCCAACCCTGTTTTGAGCAAGTCTATCGACACAATTTTTCCAACAGCATTTGCTTACTGCATGTCTCTGTGTCACATTTTGGTAATTCTCACAATATTTCAAACTTTTCCATTATTATTATATTTGTTATGGTGATCTGTCATCAGTGATCTTTGATGTTACTACTGGAATTGTTTTGGAGCACCAGGAACTGTGCCCATACAAGACAGTGAACTTAACTGATAAATGTTGTGTGTGTTCTGACTGCTCCACTGACCAGCCATTCCTCTGTCTCTCTCCCTCTCCTTGGGCCTCTCTATTCCCTGAGATACAATATTGAATTAGGCCAATGAATAACTCCACAATGGCTTCTCTTTTTCTTTTTCTGAGGAGATCAGCCCTGTGCTAACATCCACCAATCTTCTTTTTTTTTTTTTGCTGAGGAAGACTGGCCCTGGGCTAACATCCATGCCCATCTTTCTCTGCTTTATATGGGATGCCGCCACAGCATGGCTTGCCAAGCAGTGTGTGGGTGCGCGCCGGGATCCGAACTGGCAAACCCCGGCCAATTGCAGCGGAACGTGCGTGCTTACCACTTGTGCCACTGGGCTGGCCCCTCCACAATGGCTTCTAAGTGTTCAAACGAAAGGAAGAGTTGCACATCTCTCACTTTAAATCAAAAGCTAGAAATGATTAAGCTTAGTGAGGAAGGCACATCGAAAGCCAAGACAGGCTGAAAGCTAGGCCTCTTGCACCAAACCTTTTGCCAAGTTGTGAATGCAAAGGAAAAGTTCTTGAAGGAAATTAAAAGTGCTACTCAAGGGGCTGGACCGGTGACATAGCAGTTGGGTTCGTGTGCTCTGCTTCGGTGGCCCAGGGTTCGCGGGTTCTGATACTGCGCGTGGACCTATGCACCACTTGTCAAGCCATGCTGTGGCAGGTGTCCCACATATGGAGTGGAGGAAGATGGGCATGGATGTTAGCCCAGGGCTAATCTTCCTCAGCAAAAAGAGGAGGATTGGCAACAGATGTTAGCTCAGGGCTAATATTCCTCAAGAAAAAACAACAACAACAACAAAACCCAAAAAAGTGCTACTCAAGTAAACACACAAACGATAAGAAAGTGAAACAGCCTTACTGTTGATATGGAGAAAATTTTAGTGGCCTGGATAGAAGATCAAACTAGCTACAACACTCCGTTAAACCAAAGCCTAACCTAGAGCAAGGCCCTAACTCTCTTAAATTCTATGAAGACTGAGAGGAAGCTGCAGAAGAAAAGTTTAAAGCCAGCAGAGATTGGTTCATGAGGTTTAAGAAAAGAAGCCATCTCCATAACATACAAGTACAAGGTGAAGCAGCAAGTGCTGATGTGGAAACTGCAGCAGGTTATCCAGAAGATCTAGTTAAGATAATTAATGAAAGTAACCACACTAAACAACAGATTTTCAATGCAGATGAAACAGCCTTACATTGGAAGAAGATGCCATCTAGGACTTTCATAGCTAGAGAGGAGAAGTCAATGCCTGGCTTCAAAGCTGCAAAGGACAGGCTGACTCGCTTGTTAGGGGTTAATGCAGCTGGTGACTTTAAGTTGATGCCACTGCTCATTTGTCATTCTGAAAATCCTAGGGCCATTAAGAATTATGCTAAATCGACTCTGCCTGTGCTCTATAAATGGAACAACAAAGCCTGGCTGACAG